TGTACTTAGCGTGCAGTGGTCAGGGGTATAAAATGTACTTAGCGGGCAGTGGTCAGGGGTATATAATGTACTCAGCGTGCAGTGGTCAGGAGTATATAATGTACTTAGCGTGCAGTGGTCAGAAGTGTCATATACAGCACAACATGCAGAATGCAGTGATCAAAAGGGGATACGGTTTCCCTCCGGTACATATCTCTGTTCAGTATAGATCTACCCCCCTTCCCAGTACAAAGCTCCTCCAGTATAGAGCTCCCCCAGTACAACTCTCCCCCGAAATAGCTCCACCCAGTACAGTTCCCTCTCCAGTCCAGCTTTTCCCCCAGTCCAGCTCTCCCTCCAGTACAGATGCCCCCCCCCCCCCCAGGTACAGAGCTTCCCCAGTGCAACACTTCCTCCAGTGCTGCTCTTCCCCCGTACAGCTCGCCCTTCAGAACAAATCTCCCTTAAGTACGGATCTTCCCCCCAGTACATCTCTCCCCCTCCTTCCCTAAGCCCAGCTCTTCCCCCAGTCCAGCTCTCCCTCCAGTACAGATGCTCCCCCCTCCTTCCCTAAGCCCAGCTCTCCCCAAGTCCAGCGCTCTCTCCAGTACAGATCAGATCTCTCTTCAGTACAGGTCTCCCCGCTTAGTACCAGCTCCCCCAGTACAGAGCTTACCCAGTACCTACAAATTTTTCCCAGTACAACTCTAGTACAGAGCTTACCCAGTACAACTCTCCCTTCAGTACAGATCTCCCTTTCCCAATACAAAGCTGTCCCAGTACAGCTTCCCCTGTCCTTAAGGCCAGCACTCCCCCCCGTCCAACCCTCCCTGCAGTACAGATCTCGCTTCAGTACAGGTCTCCTCCCCATGACAGAACACCCCCAGTACAACTCTCTCTCCCCCCCCAGTACAGATCTCCCTCTCCCAATATGAAGCTACCTCAGTCCAACTCTCTCCCCCCCAGTACAGTTCTCCCTCCAGTACAGATCTCCCCCTGCCAGTACAAAGTTTTACCAATACAGAGCTTCCCCAGGACAACTCCCCCCCTTCCCCAGTGCAGCTCTCCCTCCATCCTTCCAGTACTGATCTCCCTTCAGTACAAAGCTCCCTCTGTACAGAGGTACATAAATATAAGCACAACTATCCCAAGAATCCCAGTACAAATTTCCTCCCAGTACAGAGCTTTCCCAGTACAACTCTCCCTCCAGTACAGTCCCCCCCCCCCCCCAGTACAACTCTCCCTCCAGTACAGCTCCCCCAGTACAACTTTCTCCCCCCAAGTACAGTTCTCCCTCCAGTACAGATCTCCCTTTAGTTCAGATCTCCACCTCCAAGTACAAAGTTCTCCCAGTACAAAGTTTCCCCAGGACAACTCCCAACCCCAGTGCAGCTCTCCCTCCTTACCTCCAGTACAGATCTCCCTTACGTACAAAGCTCCTCCTGTACAGAGCTCCACCAGTACAACTAACCCCAAGAACACATTTCCCCCAGTACAGAGCTTCCCCAGTGCAACTCTCTCCCAGTACAGCTCTCCCTTCAGTACAGGGTTCTCCTCAGTACACATTTTCCCCTAGTACAGAGTTTCCCTAGTACCACTCTTCCTCCAGTACAGCTGTCTCCCAGTACAGCACTCCTCCAGTACAGAGCTCTCACCAGTACACACTTCCCCTCAGTACAGAGCTTCCACAGTACAACTTTCCCTCCAGTACAGCACTCCTTCAGTACTGAGCTCTCTCCAGTACACATTTTCCCCCAGTACAGAGCTTATCCAGTACCACTCTTCCTCCAGTACAGCTCTTTCCCAGTACAGCACTCCTCCAGTACAGAGCTCTCCCCAGAACACACTTCCCCTCAGTACAGAGCAGGGGTGGACTGACAACTCATGGGGCCCCCGGGCAATAGGGGATCATGGGGCCCCTGTGTCCTTGCCCAAACTCAAAAAAGCCTATGAAAAAGGTACCAGGGGCATCTCATGGGGCCCCCTACTGACCCTGTGTCCTTGGGCAGTGCCCGAGTTTCCAAATGGTCAGTATGCCCCTGATACAGAGCTTCCACAGTACAACTTTCCCTCCAGTACAGCACTCCTTCAGTACAGAGCTCTCTTCAGTACACATTTCCCCCCAGCACAGAGCTTCCCCAGTACAATTCTCCCTCCAGTACAGCTCTCACCCAGTACAGCACTCCTCTAGTACAAAGCTCTCCCCAGTACAGCACTCCTCCAGTACAAAGCTCTCCCCAGTACAGCACTCCTCCAGTACAAAGCTCTCCCCAGTACAGCACTCCTTCAGTACAAAGCTCTCCCCAGTACACATTTCCCCCCAGTACAGAGCTTCCCCATTACAACTCTTCCTCCAGTACAGCTCTCACCCAGTACAGCACTCCTCCAGTACAGAGCTCTCCCACTAGTACATGGCTCCCTCCAGTACATATCTTCCCCCTTCTCTTTGCTAGTACAGCTTTCCCCTGTCCTTAACACACTTGCCAGACCAGGCAGTTCAGAGTGAGAGGCAATCCTTCCTCCACTGGGTACAGGAGCCGAGGAAATCCTCCTTCACTCTGAATTGCCTGTCTCCTGACAGGTGGCGGGAACAGCTCCTGCTTCAGATGCTCAGCGGTCGTCACTGCTAGCTGCTGCTGCAGAAGCTCTGGGGAAGGGGGGTTTGGACCCCCCTATTCCCCCCATATCTATGCCCCTGATTGCTGAGCTCCTTCTAAAAAAAAAAAAAATACTAGTTGCCTGGCTATTTCTGACTTTAGTACTTTCTAAGTCGAGCAGGCAGATGGTAAATTTCAGAGCGCAGCCAGAACTCCTGATTGGCACGATTCAGAAATTTCCAAAAATACATGAATAATAGCCAGGCGACTAGTATTTTCAATGGGAAACAGCAGCAGTGGCAGCCTCCCCTCTTTAATGTCACACCCAAGGCCTTTTTTTTTTTTTTTCTCCAGCACCACTAAATTGGCCTTAATGCTCCAAAAAAAAAAAAAGGAGAAATGGAGCCGCTGTCAGTGTTGCGGTAACTAAAAATACTCTTTGAGATTTTTGCCCTTTAATGTACTAAATGACTTCACAGGGAGGAGGCTGACATTACCCTGCAGTGTAAAGATCATTAGATGGCGCGGACGCACATATATTACACAGGGATGTGATGGGAGATCCAGAGGGAAACCTGCTCCGGCCTTATTATCTCCGACCCTCTCTGACCAAAGCAACTGTCACACTGGATGATTGTGTCACAAATATGTGAAGACGTAGAAACTCTCCCTATAAAGGACTAATAAATCTGCCACCATTAGAAAGCTGCTACAGCGAATCCTTCACATTCATTTCAACCACACAAATATATATAATATTAGTGTGTATGATGTATAAAAACACCACAAATATATATATATACTGTATGATGTATAAACACCACAAATATATATATATACTGTATGCTGTATAAACACCACAAATATATCTATATATATACTGTATGCTGTATAAACACCACAAATATATTATAAAATATATATAGTGTATGATGTATAAACACCACAAAATATATATATATACTGTATGCTGTATAAACACCACAAATATATATATATACTGTATGATGTATAAACACCACAAATATATATATATATACTGTATGATGTATAAACACCACAAAATATATATATATAGTGTATGCTGTATAAACACCACAAATATATATATATACTGTATGATGTATAAACACCACAAATATATATATATAGTGTATGATGTATAAACACCACCACAAATATATATATATATACTGTGTATGATGTATAAACACCACAAATATATATATATATATATACTGTATGCTGTATAAACACCACAAATATATATATATACTGTATGATGTATAAACACCTTTGCAGCGCTACTACCCCACATTCATGATTTACTACAGCCCCCCGTCTGCCCGCTCACTTCACAGGACATGTTACTGCAAGCGGGTGGCAGCTGAAGGCTTGGACAACACGTATGTTCATTGCCGCCTGCTCCCAAGTTTCATGCGCACGTGCGCGCGCCCTGCCAACCTGTGCTGTGATTAGACACGGAATGACTTTGACCCCCTTCACACGCGTTCTGGGTTTTTTCATCAGTTCAGTCACGTTTTTTCCAAGAAAAAAGAGATCAGTTTACATCAGTTTTTCGTCAGTTGGCATCAGTTTTTCACGTCAGTTATTCATCACTTTACGTCAGTTATTCATCAGTTCACATCCGTTTTCATCAGTTTACATCCATTTACATCAGTTTACATTAGTTTTTCATCAATTCACATCCGTTTTTTTCATCACTTTAAGTCAGTTATTCATCAGTTTACATATAGTTTATGTCAGTTTTTCATACGTTTACGCCAGTTATTCATCAGTTTACATCAGTTATTCATCAGTTTACATCCATTTTTTTTCATCAATTTACATCATTTTTCATCACTTTTACAGTCAGTTATTCATCAGTTCACGTCAGTTATTCATCACTTTACGTCAGGTATTCATCAGTTCACATCCGTTTTTCATCAGTTTACATCCATTTACATCAGTTTACGTCAGTTTTTCATAAGTTTATGTCAGTTTTTCATCAGTTCACATCCGTTTTTCATCACTTTAAGTCAGTTATTCATCAGTTTACATCAGTTTTCATATGTTTACGTCAGTTATCATCAGTTCACATCTGTTTTTCATCAGTTTACATCAGTTACATCATTACATCAGTTTCACATTCACCCCCCCCACCCCCCCCCCCCCCCCACCCCCCCCCCCCCCCCCCCCACCCACCCCCCCCCCCCCCCCCCCCCCCCCCCCCCCACCCCCCCCCCCCCCCCCCCCACCCCCCCCCCCCCCCCCCCCCCCCCCCCCCCCCCCCCCCCCCCCCCCCCCCCCACCCCCCCCCCCCCCCCCCCCCACCCCCCCCCCCCCCCCCCCCCCCCCCCCCCCCCCCCCCACCCCCCCCCCCCCCCCCCCCCCCCCCCCCCCCCCCCCCCCCCCACCCCCCCCCCCCCCCCCCCCCCCCCCCCCCCCCCCCCCCCCCCCCCCCCCCCCCCCCCCCCCCACCCCACCCCCCACACCCCCCCCCCCCCCCCCCCCCCCACCCCCCCCCCCCCCCCCCCCTACCTGAATTTTATCATCAGTTTACATTCAGCATTCACATATCAGTTTCACATATCCGCTCACCCTGTTACTCACTCTCCCGGACCCTGTTTCACTATATCCCCTCCCCGACCCTGCATTCACTATATCTGCTCTCCCCCGGACCCTGCATTCACTATATCTGCTCTCCCCGGACCCTGCATTCACTATATCCGCTCTCCCCTGACCCTGCATTCACTATATCCGCTCTCCCCTGACCCTGCATTCACTATATCCGCTCTCCCCCGGACCCTGCATTCACTATATCCGCTCTCCCCGGACCCCGCATTCACTATATCCGCTCTCCCCGGACCCATTCACTATATCGCTTCACCCTGCATTTCACTATATCCGCTCTCCCCGGACCCTGCATTCACTATATCCGCTCTCCCCGGACCCCGCATTCACTATATCCGCTCTCCCCGGACCCCGCATTCACTATATCGCTCTCCCCGGACCCTGCATTCACTATATCCACTCTCCCTGGACCCCGCATTCACTATATCCGCTCTCCCCGGACCCCGCATTCACTATATCCGCTCTCCCCGGACCCCTGGCATTCACTATATCCGCTCTCCCCGGACCCCCTGCATTCACTATATCTGCTCTCCCGGACCCTGCATTCACTATATCCGCTCTCCCCGGACCCCGCATTCACTATATCCGCTCTATCCCCGGACCCTGCTCATATATCCCTCCTGACCCCTGCATTCACTATATCCGCTCTCCCGGACTGCTTTCACTATGTCCGGACCCCACCCTGCATTCACTATATCCGCTCTCTCCCGGACATTCACCCGCATTCCCCCGGACCGCATTCACTATATCCGCTGTCTGGACCCCAGACCCTATATCGCTCCTCGGACCCTGCACTACTATATCCACTCTCCCCCGGACCCTGCATTCACTATATCCGCTCTCCCCGACCCTGCATTCACTATATCCGCTCTCCCTGGACCCTGCATTCACTATGGTCCGCTCTCCCCCGGACCCTGCATTCACTATATCCGCTCTCTCCAGACCCTGATTCACTATATATCCGCTGTCCCTGGGACCCCGCATTCACTATATCTGGTCTCCCCGGACCCTGCATTCACTATATCCGCTCTCCCCGGACCCCGCATTCACTATATCCGCTCTCCCCGGACCCTGCATTCACTATATCCCGGTCTCCCGGACCCTGCATTTACTATATCCGCTCTCCCCGACCCTGCATTCACTATATCTGCTCTCCCCGGACCCCGCATTCACTATATCCACTCTCCCCGGACCCGGCATTCACTATATCCGCTCTCCCCGGACCCCGGCATTCACTATATCCGCTCTCCCGGACCCTGCATTCACTATATCCGCTCTCCCGGACCCCGCATTCACTATATCCGCTCTCCCCGGACCCGCATTCACTATATCCGCTCTCCCCCGGACCCCGCATTCACTATATCCGCTCTCCCCGGACCCCGCATTCACTATATCCGCTCTCCCCGGTCCCCGCATTCCCTATATCCGCTCTCCCCGGACCCCGCATTCACTATATCCGCTCTCCCCGGACCCTGCATTCACTATATCCGCTCTCCCGGACCCTGCATTCACTATATCTGCTCTCCCTGGACCCCCGCGTATTCACTATATCTGCTCTCCCGGACCCCGCATTCACTATATCCGCTCTCCCCAGACCCTGCATTCACTATATCCATCCGCTCTCCCCGGACCCCGCATTCACTATATCCGGTCTCCCCGGACCCTGCGCATTCACTATATCCGCTCTCCCCGGACCCTGCATTCACTATATCCGCTCTCCCCAGACCCTGCGCATTCACTATATCCGCTCTCCCCAGACCCTGCATTCACTATATCCGCTCTCCCCGGACCCCGCATTTTTTTCTTCATCCAAAACGCCAAGAAAGTAGGTGATTTGGTTGTCAATGTCATAGTTTCACATCAGAGCTTGCAGTTTCCAGTTCATTCCAATTGCAGAAAAAAAAAAAGTAGAACACACTGCATTTTTCCAGCCGCAGAACTGTGCTGGAATGTGGTAAAAACACATCAAATACACACCCGGAACGCACCAAAACACACCAAAAAATGCACATGTCCCTATTTAAACTTGAGAAGAAAAAGAGAGACCATCACTATGAAAAAAATGGACCAGAATGCATCAAAAACAAAAATTGAAGAAAAGAGTAAAAAAAACAAAATTGAAGAAAAAGATGCAAAACACATAATATCAAAAAACGTACCAGAATGCACCAAAAGCACATGTCCCTATTTTAAATTGAACGAAAAATAGAGGGAAAAAAATAAATTGAAGAAAAGAGAGAGGAAAAAATGGGACCAGAACTAAAAAAAAACTACGCACCAGAATGCACCAAAGATGCACATGTCCCTATTTAAATTGAAGAAAAATAGAGGGGAAAAAATGAACCAGAACACACAGAATCAAAAACACACCAGAACATGCAAAAAAATACCAGAAAAAAAAAAAAATGATCACACCAGGAATGCACCAGAAAGCACATGTCCCTATTTAAATTGAGGAAAAAAAGGGGGAAAAAAATGGACCAGAACAAATCAAAAATGGACCAGAACTCACTAAAAATGCACCAGAATGTACTAAAAAAAACACATGTCCCTATTTAAATTGAAGAAAAGGAGAGGGGGAAATGGACCAGAACTAAAAAAAAAAACACAAGAATGCACCAAAGATGCACATGTCCCTATTTAAATTGAAGAAAAATAGAGGGGAAAAAAATGAACCAGAACACATCAAAAACACACCAGAACATGCAAAAAAATGCATAAAAAATGCACCAGAATGCACCAGAAAGCACATGTCCCTATTTAAATTGAGGAAAAAAAGGAGAAAAAATGGACCAGAACGCATCAAAAATGGACCAGAACTCACTAAAAATGCACCAGAATGTACTAAAAACGCACATGTCCCTATTTAAATTGAGGAACAAAAGGGGAAAAATGGACCAGAACGCATCAAAAATGGACCAGAACTAAACAAAAATGCACCAGAACGCACCAAGAATGTACATGCCCCTATTTAAATTGAGGAAAAAAAGGGGAAAAATGGACCAGAGCTAAACACACATGTCCCTATTTAAATTGAAGAAAGAGTAAAAAAACGCACCAGAATGCACCAAAAATGCACATGTCCCTATTTAAATTGAAGAAAAAGAGAGGGGAAAAAAATGGACCAGAACACAAAAAAAAAATGCATCAAAAAATGCACCGGAATGCACCAGAAAGCACATGTCCCTATTTAAATTGAGGAAAAAAGGGGAGAAATGGACCAGAACACATCAAAAATGGACCAGAACTCCCTAAAAATGCACCAGAATGTACTAAAAACACACATGTCCCTATTTAAATTGAAGAAAAGGAGAGGGGGGAAATGGACCAGAACTAATCAAAAATGCACCAGACTGCATCAAATACGCACATGTCTCTATTTAAATTGAAGAAAGAGAGAGGGAAAAATGAAACGCATGAACAACACACTGGAACAAAAAAAAATGCATAAAAAATGCACCGGAATGCACCAGAAAGCACATGTCCCTATTTAAATTGATGGAAAAAAAGGGGAAAAATGGACCAGAACGCATGAAAAATGGACCAGAACACGCAGAAAAATGCATAAAAAACGCACCGGAATGCACCAGAGCACATATCGCTATTTAAATTGATGGAAAAAAAAGGGGAAAAATGGACCAGAACTCACTAAAAACGCACATGTCCCTATTTATATTGAAGAAAGAGAGAGGAAAAAATGAACCAGAACGCATCAAAAACACACCAGAACACGCAAAAAAATGCATAAAAAACGCACCGGAAAGCACATGTCCCTATTTAAATTGAAGAAAAAGAGAGAGGAAAAAATGGACCAGAACTAAACAAAAATGCACCAGAATGCACCAAAAAACGCACATGTCCCTATTTAAATTGACGAAAAAGAGAGGTGAAAAAATGGACCAGAATGCATCAAAAACACACCGGAACATGCAAAAAAAGCATCAAAAACGCACCGTAATGTGCCAAAAATGCGTCAGTAACTCATCAGGACTGCGTTTGTGCGGTTTTAGCGTTTTGTGGAGAATTTCTGGTTTTGTGATTCTGGCTCAGGGAAGCAGAGAAGAAGGAGCGATCCCTCCCGCACAGGACAAAGTGAAGGGCGGGGTCGCACCTTTCGGGGGTCAATGCCCGGACTGTGTACATGACCCCCCCCGAGTGGCACATCTGTTCTGGCCGTCCACGCTGAGCATGCAGATGACTATTACTGCCCTCTATGAAGTCAGGAGGATTTCCCTTTCATGCCGGCCAGCACTGTGTCAGCCGTGCAGAACTCCCTCCTAATTAGCTGCACAGACTCATCAGAAATCATCTGTGAGCTCTTTCTTTGGCCGAGGAACAGAGCCGGCTGTGTAGGAAAGCAGGCCAGAGCCCGATACCCCCGGAAGAGCGAGAAGGGAGATGAAGAGGAACATGGAGAGAACCTCAGACACAGTCATAGAAAGAGGCAGACAGGGAGGGGGGAGAAGCAGAGACAGACGGGAGGGGGGGGAGAAGCAGAGACAGAGACAGACGGAGAGGGGGGGAAGAAGGGTTAAACAAAGTTTAATCAAGACGCTTCCCATGCTGATTGTAGGATGAAGGATGGCCGAGATGGCAGGACATCGCACCAGTATATATGTATTCTTTGTATAGCAGATCGGCTGGCCCAGCATCGTTCCCTGCCGGTGTTGCAGCAACAGGAATTTGGCAATTTATACATCAAAGTCATATCTTTGTTTTTTAATATGCGGCGCCCATCCTCCAGCCCGGGCATGTGGGCCCTTGGCATTTTTTGTTCGGCCCTCAGGGGTCCTTCAGGCACATACCTGTGTTTGTCTTTTGTCCTGTTATAGCAATGACTTCTAGCGGTCTCATGTAATATTTCTGCAGTCTATGACTGTCTCTTGATGTGTCCCCAGTCTACAACAACTCTTATAGCACGGTCACAGGTTTTTGACAGTCATCTGCAGCATGTCAGCAGCCTCTGACCATCTCCTATATCAGGGGTGGGCAAACTTTTTGACTTGAGGGCCGCAATGGGTTCATATATTGGACCCGGGGGCCGGACCTAGAGTAGATGAATGATGTGTATGTGTCATCCATAGTAAGTATAGTAATATTCCCCCATAGTAAGCATAGTAATTCATCCCCCATATAGTAATTCATCCCCCCTATAGTAATTCATCCCCCATAGTAATTCATCCCCCATATAGTAATTCATCCCCCATATAGTAATTCATCCCCCATAGTAATTCATCCCCCATAGTAATTCATCCCCCATAGTAATTCATCCCCCATATAGTAATTCATCCCCCCTATAGTAATTCATCCCCCATATAGTAATTCATCCCCCATATAGTAATTCATCCCCCATAGTAATTCATCCCCCATATAGTAATTCATCCCCCATATAGTAATTCATCCCCCATAGTAATTCATCCCCCCTATAGTAATTCATCCCCCATATAGTAATTCATCCCCCATAGTAATTCATCCCCCATATAGTAATTCATCCCCCCATAGTAATTCATCCCCCATATTAAGTCCCCAAGTCCCCCCTGTGTCAATTCACTTACCTTTGCTCCGCGCGTTCCTCTCGCCGTGTTCCCGCGCCGTTCCGGTGTAGCATGAAAATCTGTCTCCTATGAGGATCTGTCCCCCTCGACGTATCTGCGCATGTGCCAGTTTCAGTCATTAGCAGCCGATCGGCGATCTCCGGCACATGCGCAGATACGTCGAGGGGGACAGATCCTCATAGGAGACAGATTTTCATGCTACACTGGTCTTCAGGGCGGACTGTGAGAGGAGCCTAGCTCCCCTCACGTTCTCCGCGGGCCGGATTAAAAGGTCCGCCGGGCCGTATACGGCCCGCGGGCCGTAGTTTGCCCATTGCTGTCCTATATCATGTCTGCAGTCTCTGACCATCTCCTGTATCATGTCTGCAGTCTCTGACCATCTCCTGTATCATGTCCAAAGTCTCTGACCATCTCCTGTATCATGTCAGCAGTCTCTGACCATCTCCTGTATCATGTCTGCAGTCTCTGACCATCTCCTGTATCATGTCTGCAGTCTCTGACCATCTCCTGTATCATGTTTGCAGTCTCTGACCATCTCCTGTATCATGTCAGCAGTCTCTGACCATCTCCTGTATCATGTCTGCAGTCTCTGACCATCTCCTGTATCATGTCTGCAGTCTCTGACCATCTCCTGTATCATGTCAGCAGTCTCTGACCATCTCCTATATCATGTCTGCAGTCTCTGACCATCTCCTGTATCATGTCTGCAGTCTCTGACCATCTCCTGTATCATGTCTGCAGTCTCTGACCATCTCCTGTATCATGTCCAAAGTCTCTGACCATCTTCTGTATCATGTCCAAAGTCTCTGACCATCTCCTGTATCATGTCCAAAGTCTCTGACCATCTCCTGTATCATGTCCAAAGTCTCTGACCATCTCTTATATCATGTCCAAAGTCTCTGACCATCTCTTATATCATGTTTGCAGTCTCTGACCATCTCCTGTATCATGTCTGCAGTCTCTGACCATCTTTTGTATCCTGTCTGCAGTCTCTGACCATCTCTCTGGTATCATGTCTGCAGTCACTAACCATCTCCTGTATCATGTCCACAGTCTCTGACCATCTCTTGTATCCTGTCCACAGTCTCTGACCATCTCTTGTATCCTGTCCACAGTCTCTGACCATCTCTTGTATAATGTCCGAAGTCTCTGACCATCTCTTTTGTTATGTCCACAGTCTCTGACCAAATCTTGCATCCTGTCTGCAGTCTCTGACCATCTCTTGTATCGTGTCTGCAGTTTCTGACCATCTCTTGTATCGTGTCTGCAGTCTCTGACCATCTCTTGTATCGTGTCTGCAGTCTCTGACCATCTCTTGTATCCTGTCTGCAATCTCTGACCATCTCTTGTATCCTGTCTGCAGTCTCTGACCATCTCTTGTATCCTGTCTGCAGTCTCTGACCATCTCTTGTATCATGTATGCTGTCTCTGACCATCCCTGGTATCGTGTCTGCAGTCTCTGACCATCCCTTGCATCGTGTCTGCAGTCTCTGACCATCCCTTGCATCGTGTCTGCAATCTCTGACCATCCCTTGCATCGTGTCTGCAGTCTCTGACCATCCCTTGCATCGTGTCTGCAGTCTCTGACCATCCCTGGTATCGTGTCTGCAGTCTCTGGCTATCGCTTGCATCGTGTCTACAGTCTCCGACCAACTCCTGTATCATATCTACAGTTTCTGACCAACTTCGGTATCGTGCTGTCTCTGACCATCTCCTATATCATGTCTGCAGTCTCTGACCATCTCCTATATCGTGTCTGCAGTCTCTGACCATCTCCTGTATTGTGTCTGCAGTCTCTGACCAACTCCTGTATCACTGTCTGCAGGCTCAACTGCTTCCCTCTGCCCATTTGTGGATTCTAGAATGTAGATGGTTGGAAGAGGTAGACCCTTGGCCTGATAATTTATGTAGTCTCGTCCAATCCCTGGAGGGAAGGATGCCCAATATTCCGGGGCCTGGAACAGCAGGGTTCTTGTCCAGGAGGAGAATACCCCATCCTGAAGAGATGCTGCCCTCCTGGGCAGTATATCTGAAGTCTGCAGGAGTTCATGGGGGCCCCATCTCAATGAGAGCTGGGGGGCCTGTAGGCAGATGCAGTTTATTTTCTCCACTGTAGGTGGCACTCACCCAGAGCAGCAATACAGCTGGAAGGAAAGTCAAGGGTGGTTTCATTGTTTCCTTGGAGCAGTGTTCCAGTTGGCTACACTGCATCCAGGTGATCTTTGTGACCATCTTGGGCCACGCAGAGTTGTTTTAGGCTCCTGCTCCCAGGCACGAATTTGCAAAGTGGCTTGTCAGGGACAGTACTTGTGGTAGGGAGAGGTTCTGGAGGAGTAGGGAAAGCCCAGGGCCTCCGTCTGCAGCTTCAGCAATCTCCATTTTGGGTTGGACTGGCAAGGCCATATTCTGCCCTCATTGGCAGGTGCTGCCTTCAGTTCAGGCCTACTACCGCTGACCGTCCTCTACATGACTGTAAGTTCCCGATTGGGGGAGCTTCCCCACATAGCTGTTGTACTGTTTACAAGTTTTTTAAGGTATGTACGTACCCCCAAGAACAGGTACAGTATGGACGTACCCCCAAGAACAGGTACAGTATGGACGTACCCCCAAGAACAGGTACAGTATGGACGTACCCCCAAGAACAGGTACAGTATGGACGTACCCTCAAGAACAGGTACAGTATGGACGTACCCCCAAGAACAGGTACAGTATGGACGTACCCCCAAGAACAGGTACAGTATGTACGTACCCTCAAGAACAGGTACAGTATGGACGTACCCTCAAGAACAAGTACAGTATGGACGTACCCCCAAGAACAGGTACAGTATGGATGTACCCTCAAGAACAAGTACAGTATGGACGTACCCCCAAGAACAGGTACAGTATGGACGTACCCCCAAGAACAGGTACAGTATGTACGTACCCTCAAGAACAGGTACAGTATGGACGTACCCTCAAGAACAAGTACAGTATGGACGTACCTCCAAGAACAGGTACAGTATGGACGTACCCTCAAGAACGGGTACAGCGTGGATACACCCTCAAGAACAGGTACAGTATGAACGTACCCTCAAGAACAGGTACAATATGAACGTACCCTCAAGAACGGGTACAGCGTGGATAGACCCTCAAGAACAGGTACAGTATGGATGTACCCTCAAGAACGGGTACAATATGAACGTACCCTCAAGAACGGGTACAGCGTGGACGTACCCTCAAGAACAGGTACAGCATGTACGTACCCTCAAGAACAGGTACAGCATGGACATACCCTCAAGAACAGGTACAGCATGGACGTACCCTCAAGAACAGGTACAATATGAACGTACCCTCAAGAACGGGTACAGCGTGGATAGACCCTCAAGAACAGGTACAGTATGGATGTACCCTCAAGAACGGGTACAATATGAACGTACCCTCAAGAACGGGTACAGCGTGGACGTACCCTCAAGAACAGGTACAGCATGTACGTACCCTCAAGAACAGGTACAGCATGTACGTACCCTCAAGAACAGGTACAGCATGGACATACCCTCAAGAACAGGTACAGCATGGACGTACCCTCAAGAACAGGTACAATATGAACGTACCCTCAAGAACGGGTACAGCGTGGATAGACCCTCAAGAACAGGTACAGTATGGATGTACCCTCAAGAACGGGTACAATATGAACGTACCCTCAAGAACGGGTACAGCGTGGACGTACCCTCAAGAACAGGTACAGCATGTACGTACCCTCAAGAACAGGTACAGCATGGACATACCCTCAAGAACAGGTACAGCATGGATGTACCCTCAAGAACAGGTACAGTATGGACGTACCCTCAAGAACGGGTACAATATGAACGTACCCTCAAGAATGGGTACAGTATGGACGTACCCTCAAGAACAGGTACAGTGTGTAGTACCCTCAAGAACAGGTACAGTGTGTAGTACCCTCAAGAACAGGTACAGTGTGTAGCACCCTCAAGAACAGGTACAGTGTGTATGTACTCTCAAGAACAGGTACAGTATGTACATACCCTCAAGAACGGGTACAGTGTGTACATAACATCAAGAACGTGTACAGTATGTGCGCACCCTCAAGATCAGGTACAGTGTGTACGTACCATCAAGAACAGGTACAGCATGTACATACCCTCAAGAACAGGTAGAGTATGGACGTACCCTCAAGAACAGGTACAATATGGACGTACCCTCAAGAACAGGTACAGTATGGATGTACCCCCAAGAAGGGGTACAGTGTGTACATACCCTCAAGAACAGGTACAGTATGTACGCACCCTCAAAATCAGGTATAGTGTGTACGTACCCTCAAGAACAGGTACAGTGTGTACGTACCCTCAAGAACAGATACAGTATGTACGTACCCTCAAGAACAGGTACAGTGAATACGTACCCTCAAGAACAGGTACAGTGAATACGTACCCTCAAGAACAGATACAGTGTGTACGTACCCTCAAGAACAGGTACAGTGAACACGCACCCTCAAGAACAGGTACAGTGTGTACGTACCCTCAAGAACAGGTACAGTGAACACGCACCCTATCTCAAGAAGAAGCTAGGCAAGCCCTCGGCCAACTTGGCGAGAACCAGCAGGTAAGCCAGCTTGCCAACATGCATATCCAGTAGAAGTACATTCTTCTGTATGGATCTTATCTGAGTGCTCCAGTGTTTTCTCACATCCCACAAATATCCAGGAAAACATAGAAGTATCTATACCTGGTCTCAAATTGTTCCACAACACATATCATTCCAATGCAAATGCTTTAAAATAGCCGTGTTCACGAAGACTTGAGATCTCCAGTAATAAGTACCCTGGCTGGCAATGCCGAAAAACTCCATGTAATTCTCAGCTCTCCTCTGATGATCAAGGTAAGCCGGCGCATCACATGAAAACCTTCAGAGCTCGCTTGATATGGTCTGATCACTGGATGTGCATGTCTGGTGGGAAAAAAAAAGAACATTCCAAGAGTCTCATCATTCCTAATGATAAGGAAAATGAGACTTTAAGCTCCGTTGGGTCAGGGGTGATGCGAATGGCTCAGTTTTCTGTAAATTGCAATGGAATATGTCAAACTATATCAAGGGACGATAATAAAAGTAGAACATAAAAAAAAGCCGGTGAGTACATTTAGTAGACATTGGTGGAAGCGTATGGCCAGGTACCGTAAAACGAAGCATCTGGATGCCGAATATTGATTCTTATTGGAACAGGCAGCGTGCACTAATAAATGCCCCGAGTGTTTTGACGGCAATATTGGCTGGTTAATGACCCAACACGTAACATTACTGTACCCACGTAATTTATTTTTACAGACCATCGTTGGTGACAGAGATTGACTTTCATTCCATACTGTAAACAAGACATCTATTGAACCTTAAAGAACCATTTTTTTTTTTTTTACAATGGCGCATACCGGGTGCGGAGAATATGATTCCTATACCTCGGGGATCATGTCATGTGTGAAGAGCATCTTTCATAAGGTGATGCCGGAAGTCCTGCAGGAGCATGAAAGCCAGCAATCAGAGGTCTAATTCTGATACCCAGTTTCCAAGGTTTCAGCTAATGTGGATAACTCGTTTGCCCCGGTTACAGCGCGGCGTTCGTTTGATGTCAGAGAGGCCCTATAGCTGTGTAGCGCTACCACCACAGGAGCCGCCGGATAAGATGGGTTTTGTATTCTTTGCCTTGACCTTCTCAATGACTTCAGCCTCTCTGGCATAGTAGGTTCAATGGACAAAGAGGTGAATTTACTAGAGGCAAAGTGCAGTTGTATTACATAGTTACATAGTCTGGCTGAAAAAAGACAAAAGTCCATCCAGTTCTACCATTAAAAAAAAAGTTATAATCCTACACCCACAGTTGATCCAGAGGAAGGCAAAAAAAAAAAACAGCAAAGTACGATCCAATTTGCTCCTGCAGGGAAAAAAATCCTTCCTGATTCCCCGAGAGGCAATCGGATATTCCCTGGATCAACTTTACCTATAAATGTTATATCCAGTTATATTCTGTGTATCCAAGAAAGAATCCAGGACTTTCCTACAGCAATCCACGGAGCTGGCCACAACCAACTCTGGAGGGAGTCTATTCCACATTCTCACAGCTCTTACTGTGAAGAAACCTTTCCGTGTTTGGAGATTACATTTCTCTTCCTCCAGATGTAAAGAGCGCCCCCTTGTCCTCTGTGATGACCTCAGGGGGAATAACTCCACACCGAGTTCACTATATGAACCACTGATGTATTTATACATGGAGATCATATCCCCCCCCCTTATGTATTATACATGGAGATCATATCCCCCCCCTTATGTATTATACATGAGATCATATCCCCCCTTATGTATTATACATGGAGATCATATCCCCCTTATGTATTATATCATGGAGATCATATCCCCCCTTATGTATTATACATGGAGATCATATCCCCCCTTATGTATTATACATGGTGATCATATCCCCCCCTTATGTATTATACATGGAGATCATATCCCCCTTATGTATTATACATGGAGATCATATCCCCCCTTATGTATTATACATGGAGATCATATCCCCCCTTATGTATTATACATGGTGATCATATCCCCCCTTATGTATTATACATGGAGATCATATCCCCCCTTATGTATTATACATGGAGATCATATCCCCCCTTATGTATTATACATGGAGATCATATCCCCCCTTATGTATTATACATGGAGATCATATCCCCCCTTATGTATTATACATGGAGATCATATCCCCCCCCTTATGTATTATACATGGAGATCATATCCCCCTTATGTATTATACATGGAGATCATATCCCCCCTTATGTATTATACATGGAGATCATATCCCCCCTTATGTATTATACATGGAG